CATGATGGAGAGGGCGAGTGAACATCACCATGAGCAAAATCAGATTATCTTTCACGTCGTACCAACATCCGTAATCCATTTGTCTTGCATAATGACATGAAGGGGATAAAAGAACACTCAAATGATAGCCTAAGAGGCATTAGATCTCGTAAATTGGCAACATTTTTGCCTTAACGAGACGCATTAAGCACTGGTAAACTTGTCAAGAAGTGCAAAAGGGGGAACATCAGCAGTTAGAAAGAGATGCAGAAGATGAGAAGAGAACAAATAACATGATGCTTAAACCTAATGGGGTTTATGGCGGAGTCAGAGCCAACCACTACACTCAACATCGTTTCACCGGAGAGGGGCGGGGTAGCCCTGCCTTCTCCCTACTCCCCCTCCCCCCACGCTTTTCAGCGTCACTTTTCCTCTTCCTTTTGGTTAATGAGGTTGTGCACAAGTTCCATCTAATTCGGTGGAAAATGCGCAAACTTGGAGGATACTAACATGTGAACACAAAAAAACGGTTCCATAAAGGTTGGATAAAATAACGTTTTGATGGGCTCTTGCTCCTACCACCCACTTTGTCTATTGTGATTTTTTCCCCCCGCTTTTAATAAGCACTAAAAAGCAAGCATTTAAAATGGGCGGCAAGAGGCAGAAAGGTTCGGCCGATGAAGGCGTTAGCAAAGAAAAATGACGATGATTAATAGTTAGGACGATAAAACACACAGAAGCGAGCCGATTGAGGTGGCTTTTCGGTGAGGCGGGAGTTACCGGAGTCAGGATTGGCTGATTAAAGGGAAAGAAAAAAAAAAGACATGCAGAGGTAAGCGAACACTTTCGTACCGCCTTCTCACATCCTCATTTACTTAGTGTGTGGGATGAATTAGAAATGCTCTTCCCTTAAATTACGGTCCACTTGTTGCCTCAAGTCCAAGAAGCGTGCGTCCTAGTGGCCAAGGTAGTCCATTCCGACTTTTGTAGGTGAAAGACACTCATCTGATGCAAAACTGCAGACGGATGCATTGAGGAGGGAACCTCTTGTCCAAGCAACATCAAAGGAGCCCGACTTGCGCTTCCGCTTACCCACAGGGATTGCCCGCGGACAGGCTCAAAGTGGCCACTCACAGTGGGAGAGTGACCGACCCTTGACTAGCTCAACATTTCATGCTTCAACTAAGGAAAATTTCTCCAAAATTGAGACAATGGTGTGCATAAGAGATGCACTCTCCACACCGAAAACCAGTATTTCACCGAAGATCCTCTTCAAATGCAATTTCCAAGCCAGCAGTGGGACGCGAAGGTGAGGGGAGAAACAAGTGACCAAAAACAATCAACATTAAGCAACGGTCTCTTGGATAAAAGGCCCATCCTCCAGATGGGGCACTGATCTGCGTCATCTGGTCGTCAAAGGAATTTCGGGCAAATGAAAGCGGCAACCTTAAGTGCACAACATCGTACTGCCCATGGGGTGGTGGGGGGAGACTGAGAGTCAGTAAAAAATGAGACAAAAGCTACCCTAGGCGCCTGCTGAAACCTACCTCAGTTTGTTGATTCATCTCGTTCCTTCGACGCAGATTTTCTTGATGAGCTGAGTACGTTCCACAAATGGGTGGTTGCTTCACGTAGGAACCGGCTCTGAGGTTATTTTCTAAACCAGAGAAACACAAAGTGGACATTTGCGTGGGTTCAACTTTCGAGGTTGGAGTTCATATTTGGATGCTCCAATTCCACTCACCCGAGCTCCACTGGTTACGAAGCGTGTTTGTGTACTGGTGGATGTTTGTTTGACTGAAGGTTCGAGTTGGTGCTCCTAAAACCCCGAAGAAGTTGTAAGCTTAGGTAAGGAAGGCAAGTACTTAGTCAACATCTCAAAACTTTCACCAATGCAAAGGTAGACTCAAAAATGCAACATCTAGGAGAGAGCATGCAAGGTGAGTGTGAGAAGTGGTCTAAAAATCAAAACATTTGGTTAATCAGAACCTCAGCTCGCATCACTAACACACACACACATACACACACACAAACATCCTGTGCAACTGTGCATGAAGACAGTGTGTGTGCATGTGAAACTCACCTGAGGTGGTTTTGGAAAGACTGAGGTTTCTGGCTTCATATCTGCC